TTTAAAAAAAAGTTAAGCCACATTTGCACTATTAAACACCAAAAACTGTAACTTGGTAGGTCCCAGAAATTGTTACTGAATAAGAATTATATATCAATAATTGTACTATTTGGCAAGTTATCTTGAAGTGGTATCTTTGCAAATGTTTTTCTTGTTATGAATTTTTTCCCCTATAAACTGTTAACAGTTCTAGATTTTCCTCCTGTCTAATGGCTTATATCATGAAAATCTTAGAGCCCATGATCTTTGGCTTCATAAATGATTAATTTAAAACTTCTGATTCTTTTCTAAGCATCAATATTTAAGACAGGGAGCGCATGTTCATTAATGAGAAGAGGCCATTGACCCTCTTGACCTGTGAAATCTTCCTTGGTTTATTTAAGTACCAAGGTTTACATGCACTATTCTCCATAGATTTAAAACTATTTTGGAGAAAGAAAAGGATGAAAAAAAATTTTCTTTTACCCTGAAAATAATACTTTTGGGATTTCTTTAAAGGTCGGTAACTGATGTCAAAAGAAATTTTTATGGTTTTGCTTTTTAAAATAGCAAGGTCTAGACTAAATAAATATTCTAATCAGCCTGTCCATCATCTGTCTCACTAATATTAGTTTGGAATGTATAGTTTTGATGAGGGAGGTAAGTATAATTCTTTGTCTCCCTACTTGTCTCTTGTTATATTTTGCTCTAATTTTATATTAACTATTCCAAAAATGCTTAAAAGCAGAAAATATAAAATTCTCCTAAAAGTCAAGTTCAAAGGGTGAGGTGAGGGTGAACAGTAGATGAGTGCTATTAGTGTGCATTTCCACGTTTGCTCATATTCTAAGTGTATAACTCACATGCACATGTTTTGCATATGCTGTCAAAAATGTTAGACCAGTATTTGTCTATTTACAAAGTGCTTTTTAAAAATAGTTCATTTGAGCTTCTAAATCAGTAGTTTTCAAAGTAGGTTTCACATAACTCGGGCATGTGGAGAGAAAATATTAAAAACTCTAATATTTAATGGTTATCTCATCTTTATATTGCTCTATTATATTGCTCTAGTTATATGACATATGAATACAAGAAGACAGTAAATGTATTTGTAAACATACTTCTATTAGGGGTAAGAGGGCAAAACTTTTCATTGATAACTGGTGGAAGGTCAAAAAGATGGGGCAATTCCTGCTACAGTCTTAGTGTCTCTCCACATGTGCCTGGAGGGTCACTTACATCACCTCTGCAGCTGCCGGCAGCCTGCCCAAGACCTACTGACTTCTAATCTCTGAGAAGTGAGGCCCAGAGGACTTTAAAAAAAAAAAAGTAAAAATCACCTTGAAATTTAAGAACATCTGATCTCAACTTTGGGAGGTAGGAATGACCCTCATTTTACAGATGAAGAAACTGAGGCTTGGAAAAAGTAAGAAACTGAAACCCAAGGTCATACTGTCAGCAAGAGACACAGGGTAATTCCACCCTGGGTTTATGGGGATGAAAGAGGCTCATGTGTGAAGTGCCAGGCACGGAGGTCATGGCGCTGGGCTGCAGGTGTCTATACAAGCCATCCTCATGTATTTTTCCTACCATTAGGAGCTGAGAGAAAAGCAACATCTGTGTCTCACTGCATAGATATGCATCTTTTCTTTCGTTCTGAGGATTTTAAAGATTGAGTTTAAGATGGCTGAAAAATGTGGTCAGCCAAGATTTCCACTGCTTGGCCTCAAACATTGGTTTTCTTAAGTTTCTTGATTCAGTTTGGGATTAAGGCCCTCGAGGTAATGTGGTCTGATGAGAGACCAAACCTTCGCTGGCTGCTTAAATTCTGCTCTGTCCACAGACCCCTAGAAAACCTCGCTGTTTAAACGGAACAGGGCAGTCTGAGAGTGGAGACCATGAATAATAAATGTAACTTCTTGTGTCTCAAGTTCATATAGACTTGTGCTCCTGCAGCTTGCATTTATGCCTTTATAATATAGCACAATCTCATAATTAGCATTCAGAATCTTAGTTGCACGACGTTTCCTCAACTGTCCTGTGAAGAACCTTGCTCTTTGCTCAAGGAATAACGTATTGAGTTCCCACTTTGGCCACACACTACCCTAGATCTAGGTAAAAGGCATTTGTTTATTAATTGCTTTAGTTGGAAAAAAAAATTGCTGATAGCTCCAAGCAACTGACTTCAATCAGCTGTAATCAGCATATTTAATGGTTTTGCCTAAACTGTTGTTTCTTAAAGTAGCTGAGGGTACTTCAAAAGTCAGGCTGTTTAGATATTTCTGCTATAACCTTAGACACTAAAGAAACTTACAGAGTTAGTAAGTGAGCAACTTATTTTTTCCATAAATCAACAGGGAAAGCACTTAGCATGAAAAAGCAGATGTCAGCTTATTTCTGTTTCATTATCATTATTTCCCAAGTAGAGGCTTTTAAAATGAATGAGGTTTAATCTGGAGAGGGAAAAATAGAGTCCAAGCCTAAGACCGGAGGCCACATTCCTGTGTCTGCGCACAGATGACAGAACCAAGGAAGTCAGATTTTTGCTCAATTACTTACGTTTGGTGCCTCCTTCATCCTTCCTAAGGCGTCCTGCTTGGAGACACTGATAGAGCTTTAGAAGAGAAGAGAGAAACTTACCCTTTGGGTCAGAGGCAGAGTGAAGCAGAAAGAGGGAAAAGGTAAATGGCCAAGAACTACTGAGCATGGACAAATGGGTGTGCACTAGGAAACCTCAAATCCTCGTCATTCTTTTGGGGATCTGGTTTGACAGTTGTAACAATTTGCCACTATCTGCCTTGGAAGCCAGGGAAAAACATTTACCTTCATATTTATGATAGTTCAGCTTCCCCCAGTAAAAAGTGAAATGTAACTTCTTAGCTCAAAAACCCAATATGTAATATAGATATAATCTTGAGTCAAAATCAAGATTTCACATGATCAATATCCGCATGATGCAATTTGCTAAGGACATGGACTGTGATGTCCGCTCCTAATCACAGCCAGTACATTACATGTAGAGTGCATCTGTGCTTTCAAATTGTCCAGAATGTTTGAAAAGTCTCACAACTGTCAGCATCACTTTTCTGATAAGAGGTGATACCAGGCTCCAGAAAGAAGATGCTACACAGAGCAAGATGCTCAGACAGCTGCTAGACAACCTGGTGGATAAAGCTAACTTCTGGAGTTTCTTTCCAACCTAAAGATATTGACGTTCCTGTGACACCCTTTGGTGGAGTCTGGATATTGGGTAAAGACAAAAGGGGCCAGGATTGATTGAAAAAAAAACGACAACTTGAAATTCTTGGTCATCTGTTAACCCTTTTGAAGCAATTATTTGCCCCAAAAGAATCATTACCGCTTAGGTGAGCTGTTAATCATAGTGAAATATTTGCAGCAGTCCTGAAATATAAAATGATATATAGATGGGTAAATGCAGAGTGTATTTCTGAAAGTTTTTTGTCCGCACTAATACCTCACATACACCTCTCGTCTGAATTTTCTTCTTTCATCCTTCTGTTTTAAAGATACCAGCGGGAAGTTGAGATGGCTGTAGAGGTCCAGTCCTCCTTCCCTTGGACCAAAGGCTTAAATTCCTTCTGTGTTAAACTAAATGTGAATACAGTCTTTCAAGCTCTTGTACACTGGCTCTATCTCAGGCTTTTGTGTTTTGAGGACCTGACGTGGTAAGGACTGTAAGCTGACCACTTCAAAACTCAATGTCCACCTCTCCCTTCTGAGTAACAGAATCCTAAACTCATTTGGGAGAGCCATGTACACAACTAGAGAGATAAGTTTTCTTAGCCTTTCTTATCAGCTAGATGTGGCCAAGTGACCAGATGTTGACCAATGAGGTGTGAGTGGAAGGGCTGAATTATACTTCCGGGAGGTCCTTAATAGAGAGAGAGTGAGATCTTCTGACCCTTTATTCTTTTTCCTACATGGAAAGCAAACCTAATGACTGGAGCCCCAGCAGCCATTTTGAACTTCTTGAGTGACCTTGAGAAAGAAGCCAAGATGACAGAAGGAGCATGTGTCACAGATACCACAGAACAACACCAGCCCGAAATGCTACTGCCAGACTTCTTTTATGTAAGAAGTAAATAAATCTCTATTTTTATGAGTCATTTATCATATGCAGTGGAACCTAATCCCAGCAGATACACTTGGAAAATTGTTGGAAGGAAACACTCTGAAATATTAAACATTTGGTGTACTAAATACAATAGCAAACACACCTACAATGCAATTAACAACACCTACAGTACCTGGTCTTCCTAGGTGGTCTCCCATCCAAGTACTAACCAGGCCCAACACTGCTTAGCTTCTGAGATAACAGTTTATCTTTTAAGGGCTCTGAGTAACCTTGTAGGTAGAGATGGCTTGTCACCAAACAAACCCAGGGTAACATATGCCTGTTAAGCATTTGTTAGGGTGTCATCCTTAAAGACGCTAGAAGCCTCAGAAGTCATGTTTTATGTTAAATGATTACCGAAATGCAGTGATTACAGATACTTCACGGTATTAGAGTTGAGTTGTGCTCAGTACTTGCGTAATCTTGTTTAATCTTTACAAGTATGTACTATTATTATTCTCTTAACAGATGGGCAAATAGAAGGGATACATTACTTGCCCAAGGTCACATGGTAAAGCTAGAAATCAAAACAAGGTCAGATTTCAGGGCCTGTTATGAAACACTATACATCTTCCATATTTTCATTTTTCTAGATAGTCTTGATCATCCTATAAATTCTCCATCCAGCCATGTGGAATGGCTGTCCCTGTTTTTATAAAATGGGAGGCCGAAACCTAGAGAAGGCTTGCTCATCCTTAAGAAACATGGAGTCACGGTGTCAAGAGTTTGGACCCTAGGGACAGAGAGCCAAATCCATTCTTGGCAAACAGACCTAGTCTCTTCCTCAACTGTGATATATAGTCATCTAGCTCTTCAAATCGAAAGAAACATCAAGGGCCGCTGACACTGGGAAAATCAGAACCACCATTGAGAAAAGACAGGCAGCTGCATGTGTTGTAATATTTTAATCAGAATCAGAAATTAAATGGCATAAAACACTCCATATATCTCTTTGCTGTTCCAAATGTCATGAACTTCAAACCCGAACATGAAACAAGCAGTTTTAGGAATTATTTTGGCTGGCTTCCCCAATCCCAAAGGAGATTTAAAAAGTAATAATGTAAAAAAGTTAAGGTCAAGGTGTCTTAATATCACAGCTAATGACTAACCATTTGTTTACTAGCAGCTTCTGCTCCACCCTGAAAGCTGCTGAACTTGCTGTCAAACAAGTGGTTAGTTATTAGTTCCCTGGGTGATTGTCCCTGAAGGCAAGCAATGCTCTGGTGTGGACACAATAGGCACTTTAAGTGGGGGTAGTTACCTCTTCCAGGTTGGGTCCAACGTTTGGCTCTCAAAGGCAAGATAAAGAATTGACAAAGAGAATGTCCTGCGAGTCGGTGCTCCGGGATTAAGTGCTGGGATGTCAGAGCATTCTCAAGAACATCTGTGGGTTGGTTAATCCTAGACACCGGCACCGCGGCCTAGTCTGAGTTTTGTTCTCCTGTCCTGAGTGATAGCCCATCTCCACGGGGATGCTCTCAGTATTTAGCAAGCGGCACGACACTGGCTCTCACAACCATCAGCACAGACGCTGGCTGTAAACAACTGGTAAGGCCGCCCCGGTGCGCGCTGCCGAGGATGGGCTCAGCGTCTGCGGGCAAACGCATCCAGAAGCGGCCCGCGTGACATTAGCCCCTTCGCCTGAGCAGAGCCGCTCCCCTAATCCGCCTCGTCCACATCTTCTCCCGCAGTCGCCGCTTCTAAAGCCGCGAGGGCTTCCGCCACCGCCGCGTCCTCGTCCTCGTCCGCGGTGTCCGCGCTCCCGCCTCCAGCGGAGCCGCGGGCGTCCTCCCACCCGTTTCTCGAATCGGTCGCAGTCACGGTCTGGGCAGGATCCTCTTCTTTAAAGTAGACACTAAGGACTTCTGTCGCCACGGCCTCGTTTAACGAATCCCAGCTTCGCTGCGTGGAGAAGGGCGCATTCCAGCCCTGCTCCCCCACCCCGGGGCGCACTCCCTCCAGCGGCGCCCCCTCGGCATGGCTCTTGACAAGGCAATCCTTTTCTTCACGGTCCACGTGGTCTGCAGCTGCGCCCCAGTGTTGCAAGTAGTCCGGGGCTGGTATCTGCAGGACGTGCTCTGGTACTTCCACGGCAGGGTATTCTACCTCGGAAGGGACTCTGGGGTCTCCATTTCGGACGACTCGGGTCTCTCCCGAGGCCTGCAGCTCACAGTCCTGTCCCCTGGCGCCCCCTCCATCGAGGACGGGTTGGGTCGGGTGCATGCTGTTCGAGGTACTGGCCCAGGAACCTCGGCCACCCGGGTAGGGCCCAGGATCCCCCGTGGGCTGCAGAGCGGCAGTGGGGCCAACGCCATTGACGGTGCTGCTAGTCTTCTCCACACAGTGTCCCGAGTCCCCTTGAGGGAGCGGTCCTTGGTGAGACAAGCAGGGTTCCTGCGGACCCGGACCCGCTGTTCTGCTTCTGCTCACAGTCCTCTGCAAGCTCTCACTCTGAAGGTCATTTTTATGCACCAGGACTTCGCTGCTCTGTTTGCCTTTTAACTTAACAGTGCCATCTTCATCTAACTTGTAGCTGTTTACTTCGTTGACATAGCCAGGGGAGGACACTTGAACTGGATCGAAGAGATAGCTGGGGTGAGAATAATGAAGATCAGTCAGGTTAATTATTCATTAACTTTGTTTATTAATAACTCTATTCATCACTAATTTTCATTATTAATACTTTCTGCTACAGGCTCTGTTTCTTCTCTTCTTACTTTCGGTGATTACTCTTTTAAAGCTTATACGTGTGTCTTAATCAAACAGATACAGTTGGGGTAAAAATGTTCTACCAACTGGAATTAGATCTTAAGAAAAAATCCAAGAGTTTGGGAAGAAGGTAAAGTACAAAGTGGTTCATGGAATTTAGAAACAAACAAACAAAAAATGAAAGTCCAATAAGAGAGAAATAAGTACTGATGGTACATCCCTTCAATAGAAAATTATACAGTTATCAAAATAATAAATGTCTGGACTAGCATGAAAAATACAGTAAGTGTTGTTTGAATAAAGCCTAAGATCACATTATGATATAAGTGGAGTAATGTATATATATGTGTATGTGTGTGAGTATATATATGGATAAAAATATACATATATGTGTATGGAATAGAACTAGAAAAATAAAGATAATTTTATTTGTTAAGGAAGCAAAATCATCAGTTATTTTTTTCCCTTTTATGTACAATTCTATTCTTATTACCCAAAGTTTTATAAAATCAAATCTGCACAAAATTAAAAGCACATGTGTGACCATGGCAATTTATTTTCAGTGATGCCATTTCAGATGCAGTTTAAAATCTAGGCCACATGTCCTCTTATATATCAAAGGAGTTTCAAACTCTTAATTTCCTGGCAATGCTGGTCATGCCCCAAGCTGGATAAAGGCGCTGAACCCATGCAGGGCCTTTAAAAGTGCCTCCGAGTAATTACGAATCCTCCATTCGAGTGAGGTATTTTTTTCAACTTTACCTTTGTATCATTTTACAGCACTTGCACCCCATCTGGATTATTTTTTGTTACCATCTGGAAAAGAAAGTGTAAAAAGGAGAAAACATAGTGAATGACATGTTAATAGAAATTAAGTTTGCTTTATCTTTCCTAGATATTCAAAGTTAGTAGTCACAATTCTTGGCAAAAAAAGGTAATGTGGGTTGGGGAGGAACTGGAGTGCCTTTGTGTATCAAAAATCAGTGATTCAGAGTTCTCAAACATTCATTGATACTTGTTTCTGTGCCAGACCCTTTCTTCTACCCTGGGAATTATATATGCCATCTTCATTTTGCAAATGAGAAAATACAGGCTGAAGAAGGCTAGGGAGAGAACGGTGGGACTAAAAAGGATCAGTATATATTCCACTCCATTGCCTTCTCCAGGGGACACGGGGACCTAACCGGGGTGCAGCCACTGTGCAGAGCAGGAGGCTTCCTTGCTAGAGAATTATCTACTCTCTTAAAGGACATCAGGTAAGGTAGCTGATTTATGTGTTCCACGTTATTGACCTGAGGAGGTGACAGCCGGAGTTATCATCACAAGCTTCACTTGGACTAAACTGTTCCTGCTTTGTCTTTCCTATCATTGGACCCATCCTGGCTAAATTTCCTGAACCCCCATCGTCTTGAACGTGCCCTCTCCGGCTTCCTGGTGGCCAGTGGACCCCAGTCTGTGCTTTTTCATTTCCTACCTGCCTACTGTTTCCTATCCTTTCCCAAGGTTGCATTTTTTCCCCCTGATACTTGCCCTCTGAATAAATCTTCTCTTCATGTAAAACTGACCACACTGTTCTGGTCTTTCCTCTGAAAATCCTAAAAATGAATGTGGAAGAATGTTTAAGTTGTTCCCCGTTTCTAATATCTATAACCTTTAAAAAGACAAGCCAATAACATAAACTCAAGCCCCAGGCCCTCTGTCTCTATAAGACGTGTGCACTTGGAAGAGAGAGAAATCGCTCATTGCTGGCTGTGTCACTGCCTCCCTTGTGCTCTATCCTGCCTTCTTTCGGTCATGGATGAATGTCCCAGGATGCTAGTTCATAAGCTTTTACCTATGGAAACTGGTTGGTTGGGTACAGGGGACTAGGTTTACATTAATAAAACAAATCCACAAGTCACCTCCTGTGGGGAGGGATGAAAAATGTCCCCCCACCCCAAGATATCCATATCCTAATCTCTGAAACTTGTGAACGCTACTTCTTCATACGGCCAAAAAGAAGAAGAAAAAAATCTTTGCAGATGTGATTATAGATTTGAAGATTTGAGATGGGAGGATTTGCCCAGCTCTGCCTCTTACTGGTTGTGTGACTTTCGGCCTCAGCGATTTCACTTGTAAATAGGGATAATGATATACCTAGGACATGGCGTTGTTGGGGACTATACAAGTTAACATTCATAATAAGTGTATACTTATTACTCAGCCCCATTTGGATACAGCATGCTTAAAAAAAAGATGAAAGTCTTGCACCTAAGAAAGATGTATGGTTGCCAAGACATATACATATAAACAAGAGCGTTAATAATACAAACTAATACTTGTTTCTGGCATAAGGGCCAAATGGTGTATTTCTATTAACTGTGGCACCAATTGAAAGACATAAACCCCAAGTGCAACAGAAGTTCCACAGACAGGGAAATCATTAGGGCTTAGCCAGTAATCTGCACGTTCAACCTTTGTGTTCTTCAACGTCCCCAACAACACCAACACCATGTACTAAGGTATATCATTATCCTCATTCACAGGTTAAATAGCTGAGGCCCAAATTCACACAGCACTCTCAATTAAATTACCCAATTTCCAAAGCCCAGGATTTTGTTTCTAGCCTCTGCTCCCCATTTATGTCCATTCTCTGCTAATAATTCATATATCATCTGGATAAACAGGACATAAAAAGTACCATGTGCATCTCCTCCCCTCCCCCTGGTCCCTTTCCCCCTCCACACCCTGCTCTAAAATTCTGCCCCTTCCATGCTGGCAGTACCTTTTGTTTATCTTGGACACTATTTAAAAAAGAAAAAAAAAAAACACAAAAAAAACACCAACCAGCTAGGAGGATAGGTGCCCAAAAAAAGTCAAAGGAAAAGAAAAAAGGGCTCTAAAGTGTTTGAGAAAGAGAAGTCTGTGGGTCATAATAACATAATCATTATGTTATTATGCAATTGTGAAATAAATATTAATCATTGAAAAATATCAGGTCGGTCAACTTTAAAATGGTGAGTTCAAGAGTTGTACATAGGGAAGATTTTCTTCTTCTGAAAGGAAGGAAGGACGAAAGAGGCATTTCTTGAGTGACGCCTTATGTTCCTAGTGTCACAGAGACTAAGGTCAATGTTGGGGAGCCCTTGCCTGGCTGGAGTTGAAGAGTCTGTCCCCACCCTTTGCTGCTGTGGCTGTGGCCACAAAAGCAACATGCACTGAGATGCAATGATGCTGAGATTTAATAGCCCAATTCGAGAGCCACCACTTCTCCATTTCTTATAGAATGTACACTGCATCTGTGGCTTTTAGGCTCCCCTCCCTCTCCCTCAGGAAAACCACAGGATCTATACTTTTCTTCAAAACCATGTAATTGTAAAGGACGTCTTGATGGCTCTCCCCTTTCAGGATCAAGTTTACAGTTTGGCTTCTTCCTCCACTGCTTCCCTTTAAATTAGGGCACACCACATGGGTTTTCTACAGAACTGGCTCCACACCTGAGGGCCACGCTCTGTGCCTCCCCCAAGTTTGGTGGAGACGGCCTCTTCCTGATGACAGGTTCTGCCCTCTCCCACCTGGCTCCATGTTTTCCTTCCCCAGCGACATGCCTTCCCCCAGTGAGACCTGCTCTAGTGTCCAAGGTTGTGTGACCACCGATGAAAAGGGTGGGGACTCATGTATCTACACCCAACCCCTGCCTGCCCGTATCTGCCATTATCCTTCCTGGTACGAAGATATCGAGTTCCTAATATCAAGTTCAATCTATTTGTCTTTTCAGATGTTATTTCCACACCTACATCTTGCTTTTGGTGAGGTGTTCTCCTATTGCCAGGTGTAAAAAGGAAACACTCTTTGTCCAGCATAATACATGGAAAGAGGAAAAATATATGTTCTTTTGAAGTAAGACTGAGTTCAAAATGGGCAGTCCATCTGCTTTCTCTGCCCCCCCTCACTTTGGTGACAGCTAGGTTAAAAGTGAGAAATCAGTTGTCAGGTGTCCTTTATTGCTGAGCAGGGTCAAAATTTGCTTTCTCTTTGGACTATAAAAAGGCAACAGAGAAGCGAAGGGCAGATCCTTCACAACCATCATCTCATTTACACAGGGAAAAGCAAATACCATTAGGGTGGTGAGTCCATCACCACTGGCGCCTGTCCCGTCCTGGAGTCCTATGATGGGGGCTAACTCTGTCCTGTGTTTTGTGTTGAAGTTAAACAGTCCCATGCTCGAAGACGGATGTGACACCGTCCCATCAGTTACTAGTTAAGTCTGCTTGCTGGAAAATCCTGTTTCATGAGGGGGAGAGTGGTGGAGGTGGGAAGAAGCGGGGAGACCAGGAGAGCCAGGAGTTTGCTAACCAGGCAGAGAAATTGACTGAGCATTCACCTGGAGTCAAGGGTATAGGGAGAGGCTCCACCCAGCGGGAAAGGGCTGCCTTTGTAGATTAGCTAAGAGTATGAAATCAATGTCCATTTCCTGATTGTCATCATTGTACAGGTATTATATAAGAGAATGCCCTTGTTCTTAGGAAATACATGGTGAAGTATTTAGGAGTAAGGAGCATGGGATCTGTAACTAAGCAAAATAATTCAGGAAAAAAAAATGTGTGTGTGTATAAAGAGAAAGGGAAGAACAAAGCCAATGTGGTAAATGTTAACGTTTGGGGACTCAGGGTAGAGAATATATGGGGGCTCTTTGTGCTTCTCTTGCAACTTTTCTGTAAATCTGAAATGATGTCAAAAGTTAAAAGAAAAAAAAGTGTGAAGGAGCTCATCAAAATCCAGTACGTAGGGAAGACCTTTCCTGGTATTTCATAGATAAATGGATAGAAAAATTAGAAAGTGGTACAGTGCAGCTATTATTAAGGCTGTTGCTATTATCTTCATTAATATTTCCTGAGTATATGTTTATATTATATATAATTATTCATTTTATATATGTAATATGTTTTCTATTAATGTAATCTGTCTTGGTAAGTTCTGTTGTTTTTTGAGTCTACTGAATTACACAATAAGAAGCAGCTTGTGATCCACTAGTTTTTGCAAAAGGGAAGTGGATCCTCTTGATTTGGGCGCTGACAATCTCATAGATGTGGTTTTGTTTATTCACCACTAGATGGCAATATAGAGTGGTTATTTAACCTAATTTCAAGAGAGGGACTTGGTATGAGAAAGGCCTCAAGAAACATTAATTAATTAGGGCACAAACAATGTAGGTGTGTTGTCATGGGGGCAAAGTTAGGGAGTAAGTGACGTGGGAAATATTTTGTACAATTATTATTGCCCCCTTTAAGTCCTGGTGGCCATGGCTCCACTATATGGCAGGGTCTCCTCCACTTCTAGCTGGGTGTGAGGTTTATTCTGTAGACTGGCCAGACCACAGTGAAGTCAAAGGCTCCTGCAATTCTACAGAGCCTCTTTTGACAGAATTACTGCTCATCAAACTTCCAAATGCGAGAGTCCGGATTGCTCTCCCACTTGGACAATTTTTCTTCCGAAGAGGCTGGTGGTGGGGATGGACGGAGGAGCCTGTGGTATGGAAGGGTCCAGTTCCTCCCCCTGGACTCCAAGGGCTGGTCTTGGAGACCTGTCTTCTGGAGGAGGGTATATGGCCATGAACTAGAAGGTAAAGATAAGCCAGAAAATACACATGTCCCAATTTGAAGGTTTTTGAGGAAGGAGCCCATTATTTTTATTGAAAATAAATTCAGAATTTTGTGTTTAAAAAGGAGAAATTTGTGTGAATTATTAGAATTAAACATAAGGCATACAGAAATTGTCAAGTTCTGTCAGTATCTGCTGGTCAACCTTCTAGATGCCTCACCAGCCCCCCTCATGCCCTGCCCCAGATCCTTCTGCACTCGGGAACTG